CTCACTAAGCTTCATGCTTACGGTTTTCAGTTTTGGTTTCAGGTACTTCCACTAGCAAAGGGAAGGGCTCGGGATGATCGCATGACACACACCACAGTCTTCAGCCTGGGAGTTTCACTCTGATATTTTGTCATGAGATTTATATATGAGACATATTTTATGATGTGTTATGATACATGACTTACGATTCTACTTATGATACTGGATGGTTTATGATTTTTAATATGATTGAAAAAACGAAATTTTTGGGCCGTATTTTTGGGATGTTTCAATATCGGTGGTTGTTGGAGGCATCATTGGGGCGATTGGAAGAGGGTCGACTATTGTGGGGGCGCCGGTTGTTGGTGTTGTTGTGATTCCGATTGGTGTTGTTGCTGTTGGTGAGAGGCACAAATGCTGAGGAGCCATGATTATAGTAACTAGGAGATGCAGCCGGTGGTTGATTGCCAAGAAACTATTCGGAGACAAGGGTGGAACGTGCCTTAAGAAAGCTCTGAAATGGTTCTTTGTGACGAATAAGCATCAAGATATTCTCTAACTTCGGTGAGAGACCATTGAACATGTAGGCGAAAAGAATTTTCTCGGGGACCAGGGCGTCTATGTTTGCAAGTAAATCCGATATGTCCTTCATCTTTTGACAATACTCAGTAATTGTGCGATCACCTTGAACAAGAGAACGAAGCTCATTGTCGAGTTCTATGGCTTGTGAGTGTTTGTTGTCGCGGAACATAGCTTCAAGGGTGTTCCAGACGGAGTTTGCTGTTGACTGTGGTTTAAGAATCATGGTGAGAAGTAATTGGATCATGGTACCATAGAGCCAAGATTTGACCAGGTTGTCGAGATTGTTCCAATCAACATTATTCAAATCTTTTGGTTTGGTGGTGCCATCGAGATAGCCATGAACTCCATATGCTCGAAAGTGGGTGAGAAATAGTTCTCTCCAAGCATCATAATTTAACTCATTGAGATCGAGTAGAAGCGGAACGTAGGATTTGATATGGGTGCATGTGAATGGCTTAGTTTTGTCAGCCATGGTCGAGCAGAAAAAAGAAGAAGATAGTAGAGGGAAGATTCGTAGAAAAGAAGAAAGGTAGGGCCGGCTGGGGAATTAATTTGTCTCTAATACCATGTTTAGAAATGATTTTCACTTGCTTATTCATTAAATAATAATCGAATATATACAGATGTACAAATGGGCTTTTGAGCCGTTCTAATGACTAATGGACTAAATACAATTACATACAAAGATATATATATATATATATATATATATATATATATATATATATATATATATATATATATATATATATATATATATATATATATATATATATATATATATATATATATATTCCCTAATAAATGAAAATAATTTTGCCACTATCTTCTAATGCATTATGCCACATGACTTTTTCTTATTATCTTCATTTTTTTTCCACATGTCATTTTATGGTTTTTCCATTTTATTAAATTCCACATAATTGTTAAATGTAATAATAAATGCATATTAATTTCATTAATGAAATTTCATTCTAATTTCAAAATTACTAAATTAAAGTTTGATTAGTTTCCTTTGTTTATTTATATAAATTATTTGTTTAAATTTAAAAGAAAAAAAAAACTTTAATTTTAATAATTTAATATTTTTCTAACTTTTTTTATAAATTTAAATTTCAAAATTTTAGAATTTCATATATAATTTTTTTTAATAAACTCATGTAATACATGAGTATCACACCTAATATATATATATATATATATATATATATATATATATATAATATATATATATATATATATATATATAACATTACATAAAAGAGTATCTAACTAAGACTAACTAACGTAAATAGAATTCTAACTTGAAAAGACAATACTATCCTTTGTAGTTAGAAACGATTATAACAATAAGACAAAATTACAAAAATGGTCCCTGTGGTATGTAAAATTTTGGGGTTTTAGTCCAAACCACGAGTTTTTTGGATCCATGGTCATTTTGGAGTGGTTTGTATGTGGTTTTGGTCCCTAGACTTAACTCCCGTTAACTAGGATCTGTTAAGCCCCCTCATGTGCCTCATACGTGAGGGTAAATTCGTCATTTCATATGTAGGGGACCATTTTTGCATAATCTGTTTTTTGGCTTATTTGACCTTTACCCTCTCTCTCTCTCTCTCTCTCTCTCCCTCTCTCTTAACAAACACAAACTCAATTAAACAATAAGCAATTCCACTAAGAAAAACAAACACAATTGTCGAAGACGGAGCTGCCAGGTCAAACCACAGTACATCGTGATCCCAAACAGCTTCACGATCTCAATTTGCTACTTAGCTCTGAAGTTCTTCGTCACCAGATTGTAGATCGAGGGGTGGATTTGAAGAGAAAGCGGCCAAATATTCCAAATAACACCTGGTTCGATCATCTTACTGCAACTTGGATTAATCAAAGACTTCAAAATCATGTACTTGGGATGAACCAGCCATCGCATCAGCATCATCTGTAATCGATTCCAAAATCATCCCTCGCATCTTTAATAGTCCAGATTTGGGAGGTTGAAGTGGTAGGGATGAAGGTTCGTAATACCCCCAATTTGGCTTATTTAATCCATCATCCTCAATTAAACTTATAAATGTACTCACAGAAGCAGATTATCAGCCAAAATCAAAACAATTTCCCCAAAGAAACCATTGCCATCAAAGAAACACTCCCACCCTTTCATCCCGTCGACAGTGGAGGAAAAATTGGGAACTAAAACAGAATGGGAAGAGGGCAAGACGGTTACATGAATTTTGGGATGAACTTGAGGCGCAATTGAGGGGCTTTCGGTAGAGGGTGCCGACTGTGGCAGGGTGGAGCTGAAACTTGGTGGTGGCTGTGTTCCATGAAATTAAACTTTGGAATCAAAATCGAAAATTGTGCTCCATGTAATCAAACACAGAAATCAGAATGAAAGACTAGGTATGTAAGAAAAATAGATCGACATTTTAGGTTGTACACACACAATAGAATAGAATACCAATTTGCAAATCTATCCACCTCAGTACCTTAGTAACCCGAAATCAAAACAAATCAAAACCAAATCCTGAAATCAAAACCTGAAATCAAACCTGATGAACTAGTAACCTCATAGGTTTCTTCTGCGTGCTTGATTTCTTCTGATCACGGGTGAATTATTTCTTCTATGTGCTTGATTTCTTCTGGAAAGCATTGTTTAGATTGAATATGAACATGGTGACATAATCGAGAGGCAATAACAGTTCCTAGAGAGAGAGAGAGAGAGAGAGAGAGAGAGAGACATTCCACAATTACCCCATCGCCGGAAACCTACATTTGGGTGTAAATTCACAACGGTCTGAGAGATACGATCTTGTGCAGGGGGGGCTAGCTTTAAGTCGTCAACTATCCCAGATACATGGCTTTCTGTATGTTTTTTTTATCTAAACTTGATTTTGATGAGAATTTTGGGTTTTTTTCTAGATTGGGAGGAAGATTTGAAAATCCGGGGGCTTTATTTTCTACTTCGATTCCTAGATACTTGGCTTTATGTATCTATGTTTATTAACTAACTGTACAGGGATAGTGAGGATAAGAAATGAGACCAAAGAAGAAGATGATGAAGTTGTGTGCATGTGTTTTAATTTCCAGGAAGAAATTTGAGAGAGAGAGAGAGAGGGGTAATGGTCAAATAAGACAAAAAACGGATTATGCAAAAATGGTCCCTTACATATGAAATGACGAATTTACCCTCACGTGTGAGGCACATGAGGGGGCTTAACAGATCCTATTTAACGGGAGTTAAGTCCAGGGACGAAAACCACATACAAAACACTTCAAAAGGACCATGGATCCAAAAAACTCGTGGTTTGGACTAAAACCCCAAAATTTTGCATATCACAGAGACCATTTTGCAATTTTGTCTAACAATAAATTAGCTAGAATGATACTCTAGCCAGGGCCGGTCCTAAGGAATTAAATATCCTCAAAGGCCCGGGACGAACTAGATAAAAATGACTCTTATCGTTATTATAAGTTTTTATTTTTAAATAATTATACCGAATAAAAAAATTAAGCCTTGTATAGTTGCCCACCTTGCCCCCTTAACGCTCCGATGACTCTAGCTAACATACCAATCGATTAATTAACATATTGTTTGATAGCAATTTCCGTTTCAATATTCCCCGTTATATTTTCCAAAAGGATGAAAAATTAATATGAAAACAATCTTCACAGCCGTTTAATTACGTGTAGATAAAGAACCCACGTAGCAGGAGTTCTCCTTTGATCTTTTTCCATACAACATTTTTGTATATTCCAATTTCTCACTAGCCGATGGTTCCCATTTGGCTACTAAAACGAAGTTTGTTAAAAACCCATGGTCAATGAAAGTATACAGCCAAGTCGTCATGGATGATGTTTTTAGGTCTGGCCGAACATTGAAAACACCTCAAGTTTAATCTCTCTCTCTCTCTCTCTCTCTCTCTCTCTCTCTATATATATATATATATATATATATATATATATATATATATATATATATATATATATATATATATTAATTATTTTATTGGTTAATGAGTTAATATGGTACGCAAGTATTAGCTCTTAGACATTGTTCATTTTCTTACATGATTACCATTAAAATCACCTTTGACTATTTATAAAACACCATTTTGAGTTTTTGACAAACAATAATCGGTATAGCCGGTTTCAGACATTATTTTTGTAGGTTAATGATTGGATAGGACAACAAACTATTAACTATGTAGATAATTAAATTAATCCAATTCATTATGTTTTTATCTAAAGCGATTATATAAAACCCATGTGCTTGTTTTTGTAATTCTCTAGTCAAACACGGAACTTGCCGTACGTGCCCAAGTTAAATATTGAAAATTCAACTACGTGATGTGCATGGTATATATATATATATAAAAAGACGCACACAAGTTTCATCTGCAGACTACTTGTAGTAATCTTGTCAATACGAATTAATGAACAAGATGATGACAAAGCTCCAAAGATTTGGAACGATAAGGCAACTTCACACAATCATATCCCGAGAAACCATTCGACCATCTTCCCCAACACCTCCACACCTCAAAACTTATAATCTTTCATTGCTTGATCAGTTTGCTCCTGACATGCACACGCCATCTGTTTTCTTCTTCCGAAACTACAAAAAAAGTGACACCAACATCCTAAAGCAATCATTGTCACAGTGTTTAACAAACTACTATCCCTTCGCGGGTAGGCTTCCAACACCTCCTGCATCTTACATCAACTGCAATGACGAAGGGGTCGAGTTCTTGGAAGCTACTAATGATAGCCTACTCGATAACTTCCTTCACAAGAATGAGCAAGATGAAACCATAGACCAGCTCTTTCCTTATGGTCTCAGTAGCACTGCTCGTGCTTCTTGCCCTAAGTTGCTCGAGGTTCAAGTAAACCATTTTGCAGGAGGTGGAGTGGCAGTGGCGTTGTCCGTGTCACACAAGCTTGCTGACGCAGCAACCGTAGCCAACTTCATCAACCATTGGGCCACTATTACACGTGGCGGGTCACCCATAAACCCATGTTTCATTTCATCCTCCACAAGTAATGAAATTAGAATGCCTAAGTTAATCGTTAAGGACATAGATAAAGTAACCTATGCTACCAGGAGATTTATATTTCCTAATTCAAAACTAAATGAGCTCAAGGACAAGGTTATTGCCATGGGCACAGCTCCAATGAACCCTACTCGAGTCGAAGTGTTGACATCTCTACTATTTAAACATGCAGTTAGTGCAGCGAAGACAAAGTCAGGTTCTTTTGAGCCATCGAACTTGTCTGTAGCAATGAACATGAGGAACAAATTTGTTGAAAAATATCCTCAAACAGCAGTAGGCAGCATATTTACGTGGACGATAGTAAAGCTGGTGGATTCTGGTGAAATCAGGTTGAGTGATATGATTGCTGAGGTAAGGAAAGCAAAAACGGAGTTTGAAGGAATAAGAGATGAGCAAGAAGTAGTTGAAAAGTTTGCAAACACTTCCTCAAGCTTACAGGGTGATGTTTATTATAGTTCAAGCGTGTGTAGGCTTCCATTTTATGAAGTGGATTTCGGGTGGGGAAAGCCAGTAGAAGTAACAATACGAATTCCAGATGTGGAGGAGTAGACTCTCATTCTGATGGATACACCATCTGGAGATGGTATCGCAGCACTTGTCCATCTGCCAGAAGAAGAAATAGCCATTCTTCAAAACGACAAGGAGTTTCTTACTTATGTTGAAGAAGTCTGAAAATGTTTATATATACCCTTTGGCTGTGGTTTGTTATCATACATAAATACATAAATTGCTTTTTCATGGGTTTTAAAATAGAAATCCATGTAGTGGCTCTGTTAGTAACAATCGCGTGTTCATTCAAGAAGGTGGTATTTCTTGATGAATTTCCTTTGGAAACAAATTTAAACTCTCAATTGGTTCCGTACCTTAGTATATATGCGAATTATTTGATATCATTTTCGCGCATCTCAACTTTTTGATTTTATATACTTTTTTAAAATAAAATCGGTGAAAGTTAAACATGAAAACAATCTAAACAACCGCTTAATTAGATCGAAGTCTGCATAATAAGTGTGGAATGCCAGGAGGTCCTTTTTGATCCTTTTTATGGTACATTTTCGTATATTCCAACTGTTGACTAACCTATGTTTTTTGGAAACGCCAAGAATATCATATTAACAAGGCCACGCCTAGCAAGTAGCTAGGTGAGACAAAAACAAGGTATCAAATTACAAATTACATTAAAAAAAAAAGCAACCAACTAAACACCCCTTTCTTTTCTTTAAATTTATACCAAACATACATGTAAAAATGTTATCCGCCAACATGTAAGTGGAAATAAGAACTTTATTAAACACCTTGTCATTACTCGCATTCCATTCCATCATTCCATGTGCCCAAAACAATCTGTAACAAAATGCTATGAAGATCTTCCGTTTTTAGGCAACGGCTCCAAGACACCGCAAAATTTGTAAGATTTCTCACATCCGCAAATGATCAATGATCAACACCACATGACTTGAAAACCCATTCTCTAGCCTTACTTTCAAATGGACAATCGACTAAAAGGTGATCCTTACTTTCAAATGGACAATCCACTAAAAGGTGATCCACTGATTCTCCTTCAATGCACTTGCACATAATTTACAAGTAGAGGTGATGTTTATACAGTGGCGAGTCTAGAATAGAAAACCACGTGGTTCCTAATTAATGTAACCAATAAAAATAAACAGTCAATCATATTTGGATTGAGCGGGTTCTATATGGTAAAATATTTAAACATGTATCTTTGATATCTAATATTTCTATTAAAATTATTACAATCATTCCCACGGTCTTATACATTAAAATATTTGAATTATTGTATATTAATAGTAATTCCTAAAACACCTTTCTTTTTAAATATATGACATTAAAATCTACAATTTCTTTTTATGAATACGGAGGCTTTAGAATTGAAAATATATGAAAAGGGAAATATATGACAACTCACGCAAAATTATCAGAACTTCTTACTAACAAACATAATTCATTATTTCATTAGTACTCATTTTAGCTTTTGCAGCCTTTTAGTATTTCAAGGCCAAAAATTTTAATTCTCAATACATGCTAGACTATAGTTCCAACATTTCAATTTTTCTATCAAAATCCATTAACCCATTTCTATTGTCCAACCAAGAGAAAGAAAGAGAAACATAAAGAGCGAGAGAAGGCAAATAAAACTTATAGATCGGCGACTCCCGGCACGGAGGAGGGAGGAGCAAACAGGCCACGACGGAGGTTGTTACTTGCTTGTCGGAGTTGCAGACTGAGTTTAGCGAATGGCAGAAGAGAGACAACAAGCGAAGACGGAGAGGAAGAAGTGTGGTGACGGGTGAAGACTCCAAAGGCGATGTCGATATTTTTTCCCGGCACTGATGATTTTTTCTAGTGAGCAGTTGTTTTCGGATACCAACACAATGTAGTTCCTGCTACTTAATAATATTTAACTAAGTTACTTACAGATTTTTTGTTGACTAATTAATTGATGATTTGTATCTATTTTTCTGTTACTTAATAATATTGTCTTAGTTTATTAGTCTTTAATAATTTATGTTCACGTTTCCAACACTAACACAAGGTAGTTCCTGAAAAATCTCCAAGGTAGTTCTTAAAAATATATCTATAAAATTTTTAACTAAGCTTCAGGTCATAGGACCCACCTACCTTCAACTTAAATTCGCCTATGTGTTTATACCTCTGTGCATTCGGCTGGTCCAAAGATATAGTGGGTCCAGAGTAAAAGAAAAAAAATGGTCCCCAATAATCATAAATATAATAAAAATTAAATCGAAAATATACAAACTGTTATAAAATTCACTATTAATATTAAAAAACAACTAATTCAAAGAAAAACATTTCTCCTAACATTTTAGATAAATTAAGTTTTTTCTTTATATAATCATATTGGACGTGTTTGACAAAAGTAGTTGTTTGCTGGAAGCGAGTAACATGTAGCGTGTATCGCGTAATTGGTAACGGGTTGCTGGTAGCTGGAAGCTATAACTTTTATTAGTTATATGAGTGTTTGACAAAAGTAGCTGGAAGCTTTTGAAATATGTAAAATTACATAAAAAGACAACTGTTTTAAAATAATAAATATATAAATATATTTTTAAGGACAATTATGAAAATTGATTTCAAAGGGCGTATTTGGCATGAAGCGTTTGAGAGATTCTAGCTTTTAGCTTTTGACAAAACTCTCCGATTTAAACAATAAACTTCGTTTGACGGTACGAACATTTAGCTTTTACTTTAAACAAAACGCTCCAAATCAAAAAACTACTTTATGTAGCGTTTAACAAAACGCTAATGAGTTTTTGAAATCAATTTCTAGAATTACCCTTATATATATATATATATATATATATATATATATATATATATATATATATATATATTTAAACAATTGTCCTTTTATGTAATTTTACATATTTCACACTTCCAACTACTTTTGCCAAAAACTCAAATAACAAATAAAAACTACAACTTCAAGCTACCAGCTACCCGCTACCAGCTTACAACTAACAACCACTTTTGCCAAACACGCCCAAAAGCTCAGTAGCGTTTTGTTAAATGCTACATGAAGTAGTTTTTAGATTTGAAGCGTTTTGTGTAAAGTAAAAGCTAAACGCTCGTACTATCAAATAAAGTTTTTTGTTTAAACTAGAGTGTTTTGTCAAAAGCTAAAAGCTAGAAGCTCCCAAAAGGTTTTAAAAGCTCCGTGCCAAACACACCATATATACTCTAGGAATTTTAGGTCTCTAACCCGGGTTGCCCACCGTCAGGGACATGCCTTCCTGTGCAATTTAACAAAAAAGGGCCAACTTAAAAAGTTATAAAATTTGAAGCAAAACAGTTTAATTTTTCAAATTTTTATTGCAAAATGCATAAATAAAATTTCATTCAAATAATACAAAAAAATTGTTTTTAATTGAAAACAACCATCATTCTAATACTTGTTGAAATAAACCTTTCTTTAACATCTTCACAAGTAACTTTATCCAAAATGTTTATCTCAATTGTGATCAAATCCAGTCCATTAAGTCATTCGTGAGTCGTTGTCATCAAATCATATGTTTGTTGAGTAGCTTATCATAATCTGATTTTTAGCAGCTCATCAGAATCTGATTTTCAAAAAGCTTATAAAAAATACAGATAACAAACTTATCAGAAATTGAAATTATAAACAAAAAAAAGGAAAATCGGAATCGGAGGTGCTTTTACCTTCAAAAATCATAAATGGATTTTCTTATTACTATGTTGAGACCGTTCCTTCTATTTTTCAAATTTGATTTGTGTGTCCTTTAAAAAAAATCCAGAAACTGAAAACAAAAATGAACAACTGAACCAAAAAAATGAACCAACAAAATAAATCAGAAAATCCTTTACCTTATGATTTCAAAACCTTTGTAGCTTCTAAAATCAATGAATCATATATTTAAAACAAAAAATAAACTAAAAATTGAATCTGATTTGGTTTTACCTTAAGAATTTGATTCTCAAGAAGCTTATAGAATATGAATCAAAGAATCAAAAAAATTTAAAACAAAAAAGCTTACTAGAAATTGAATATGTTCCTTCTGATTTTCAAATTTGACTCTGTTCCTTAATCCTTCTGATTTTCAAGTTTAATTTGTGTATCTGATGTGTTTATTTATACACTAGTTTTAAATTTATAAAGTCCTATCTAATCTTAACTAGTATTAAACACAAATAGGCAGTGTACCTACTCGTGAAGTAATATAATTGTGATAAGAAAGGGTATCGAACACACGGAACGTGATAGTTTAGATCAAATAATTCAAATGTTAATTACATTAATAACATCAAATTATTCAATTGTAGAGATACATACGCGATTACCTTATCTCTTTGGGTTAGAACACAACCTAACCCAATGCTAGATGCATCGCTATAGACTGCGAAGTCTTCAACTCCGTCAGGTAATGAAAGAATTGGTGCTTCACAGAACTTCTTCTTTAATTTCTCGAATGCTTCTTCATGTTTCTCACTCCATGTATATGTAGCTCCTTTATGGGTCAAACCTGTTAATGGAGCAACTATCAAAGAAAAGCCTTGCATAAACCTTCGGTAATATCCAACTAATCCCAAAAAACTACGGATCTTAGTGGGACTTTTTGGCCGTTTCCATTTTATCACCGCTTTAATCTTTGTTGGATCAACCATTATTCCTTCCTAGTTAACCACATGACCCAAGAATTGGACTTCTTGAATCAAAAAATCATATTTGGAGAACTTGGCGTACAACTTCTCCTTCTTTAAAACTTCTAATACTTCTCGCAAGTGCTTGCCATGATCCTGCTAGCTCTTTGATTAAATAAGAATGTTATTTATGAACACTATTTCGGATTTATCAAGGAATGGTTTACAAACCCTGTTCATCAAATCCATAAATGTTGTTGGAACATTGGTTAGTCCAAATGACATAACCAAGAACTCATAGTGTCTGTATCTTGTTCTGAATGCGGTCTTCTCGATGTCTTGCTCTCTCACCTTCAACTAATGATATCCTGACCTACGATCGATCTTTGAGAAATAACTTGAACCTT